GATCGAAAGCCAAATTCATGACCGTTTTGATTTGCAAGGGACTGTTCAGTTCATATGTATTCTAGAGATCCTTGGCGTTTCTTTTCATGTGGTGTCTATGCAGCTTCTTCCAGAGCTTTTCCAATTGCCGGCAATTTTTTTTTCAATTCTTTTCATGTTCAACTTTGATTCTACCATAAAACCGATTGAAAATATAAGAAATAATTCAACAATTCTTTATTAGCACATATGAGTCCCTTATTTCTCCGATGTGGGATTCACTCACAAACACCATGAATGTTGGTGAAGATTTGTTTAGGTTTTCAACGAGAGATTGAAAGGAAGATGAAGCTAGGATTTCAGAGAATGCACAAGGATGAAAATGGAGTTCGTTGCTCCTTCGATCTCATTGGATTTGCGGCTACAAAGCGGTGTTAAACCAGAACACTGCACTTGGATTCTTTAAACTTCTCTGGGATTAGGACCTGCAGCAATGCTTATACTTCAAAAATAGCAGTGTTAGGGTGGCGTTTGTAGGGCGATTCTCATCCGAGACCTTGTTCAGGTTCTGTGAGTTTCTAATGGCTTTTGTGTTCGGTTCTGTTCATGCTTTGAAAGAAAAAACCTTGTAGTTCTCGATCTTCAAAATTTCAGAATTCGATTCCCATGTTGCGTCAATGTTTCTTGACATTAAAGTCATCTAAAATATGATGCATGGTTTCAACGATAACAGGTAAATAAAACGGGATCGAAATAGATAGAAAGCTCAGAACAAATGTAGGTCAATCGAAACACGACAGTAAATACAACAGAGAAGGAAATCACTATCACAAATTGTAATGCAACCAAATTTAATGATAGTGCCTAGACCAGCAAATGTTATGTCCAAGTCCGAATTCCGCTTCCTCCTCTCCTCTGCTGTGGATCCACCACAAAAGATTTGTAAGCGAGTTACCATCATCGTAAACATTCAAGTTCCTTATCTTCCCCAAAGCGCCTTCTTTGTCATAAATCCCTTCCAAGGAATAGACAAATCCTTTCCATCCTTCTCCTACTCCTTCCCTACTCAAAGCCGGTAGTGTCCACTTCACAAGATCCCTAACAAAGCCAGCATCTGAAAACAAGGCCTCAGTGATCGGCAATAGCGGTAGCAACTGAATTCCAAGTCTGCACTCTTTCCACTCCGGAGGAGCGAACCAAAGTCCGCTGTCCCTCTTGTTATTCCATAAAACTCCAACCAAGCGATTTTCCCTTGTGAAATCCTCCTCATACATGTTACCTCCCTCTTTTACGTGCCACCACATTTGCGCTGCCTGAATCTCTAAAGCTGCAAGCATTGATCCTGTGGCCACAAGATGGGTGTCTCCATAAGCTAATCCCAATAATGCAGCTGAATAGTAGGCATTCACTGCCTCACTCGTGCTCTCCTGATTACGACCATCTGCAAACTCAGTTAACCCGCCAGCCCACGAGTGTAATTTGTAAAAATCAAAGCACCGTAAGCGTGGATAATGCGAATGTGATCGCCTACCTACCGTCAAATAATCAGCAGCAAGCGAATAAGCTTGAGCCCGATACTTCCTCCCCCAAGCAGGATCAATTTTCGCAAGCACTGAAATCCCATAAACAAAGTACCCCAGATGATAATGGTGATCATTATAAATTCCAAACCCAAAATCTGCACCAGAATCGGTTGCTCCTTGTTTCGTGACAATGCCACCCCATTTCTTGTCATACAAGAAACCATTCCCCCCGAAAGTTCCAACCAGCCACGGCTCAATCGTTTCCTTCAGGAACTTCCTAATCGTCGGAATCACATCGAGATAAGCCACCTCCTCTGCGATCAAAGCCAGCCTTGCCGCCCTTGCGATCAATTTTCCATAAAAGTACGAAGATGTTGTAGCTATCCCACTCGAATTCAGCTCCCCTACATCCTTAACAAGTGCAGAAACAACTTCAGCATACGAACCTTCTCCAACACCTCGACTCGAATGCCAGGTGATCGAAACAGGGTCGGGTTTCAGCGCCCACGAATCGCCAACAACGCCAACAAGATCCCCATCAATGCTCTTGAACTTGAAATCCTCCAAAACCGTGACGTCACAATCCTCGCCGGAGAGAAGCTGGAGGTGCAGTGGATGAGCAAGCATGAGCAAATCACCCCATCCTTTCTTCTCCCATTTGTACTCCAAAGCAAACGGCTTTGTGAAAACCGCTTCGCCGGAAACCGGGTAGCAAGAGCTGAACCGGTCGAGGATCGCCTCAAATTTCGGATCCGAATCCGGCAATATCGCAATCCGAACAATCCCAGAAAACCCATTGGAGGTGATCAGTGACAGGCCGCTGGTTGTCAAATCCATCGGGCAAGAAGTGTATACAAGCCATGTCTGATTGCTATTGAGCTTGATGGTGTATTTGGTCTTTGAGCCGTTTGATGAACACGAGAGGATTGCGTGGATGGTGGAGATTGAAAGAGAGGTGGAGTTGGAAACAGAGCAGGTGATGAATGGGCTGCCGCGGACGAGGAAGAAGCGGAGGTTGGAGGAGGGGAAATCCAATGTGACGCTGAGGTCGTTGAAGGAGGAGATTTTGTGGGGTTGTGGGGAACCGGGGTTTTGAGCGGCGGAGACGGTGAGATCGGCGATGAAGATTTGGTATATGAAGGCGGAGGTGGAGAAGCGAGATGGGTAGGAGATGGTTAGGGCGGCGGAGGAGGATTTGACGGCGTAGGGGTGGAAGTATTCGGGTTGGTCGCCGTTTTTAAGGACGAAATTTTGGAAGAAAGAGTTGGTGGGGAGAGGGGATGAGAGGAGGTTTGGGGAGAAGAAGTTTGACGGGTCGGGGAGGACGGTGGATTGGGTTTGGGGGAAGAGGAATGGGTCGGCGGTGGCGGGTGGCCTGAAAGTTTGTTGCGGCGGTGGCGACATGGTTTGGGATTCTTCTTCCGGAGGTGGTAATGATGGAAATGAAGATGGAGGGGGTGGTGGTTTGTAGGGATTTTTTTTGGGTTTTACCAAGGTTTTGACCTTCCTTTTCACTTTTTTCAACATTGTATGGTATGATAGTAAGTTCAGGATTTAAATGCTGAACGCGTAACAAATAAATTTTAAATTAAAGACATCGATAATAATGCAAACCTGAGCGAAATTAAGTTGACTGTAGTATGCCGATAATATGGATTAGATCGAAAATCCTTTGAATTAAATAATCACAAGAAAATAAAAGGATTTTGGATGATTTGGTGGAATTGGGTAGGAGCCAAGAGGAGGAAGCTAGGAGGAAATGGTGGGGTGTTTTCTAGCAGTTAGTTACCAAACAAGAAGGAAGAAGAACTTTAAATATATTGGGAAATTTGGAATCCGGATGGGACTTGGGAGGATTGCAAGATATCCAAAAGTACTTTGATTCGAAGGAAGGGATACCAAAAACAAATGTGGGATCTCAGAATACTTCATAGGCAAGCAAATATATGACTTACTGGGTGGTCTTGAGCCTCGATTTTTGTTTGTTGTAGACTTTGCATAACTTCAAAAATTGTAATTCAAAAGTGAAAAGAATGTTCTCTTTTTTATTTTCTTGGGTAACAATACTAAATGTATCATCGTGTTAATTAGCAAAAAAAGACGATCAAGTGTCTAGCCACCTTGCACGAGAGTGGCAAATAAGAACACGACAATCTTATGTGGTTTAGTTACATTAAGAATGTTTGAAAAATAATTTCAGCACACCTTCTCTCACTTTTTGCAAAATCTTTTCATTTTTCTAGCCATTGACTCAAAGACTAAAATTAACAGATTGATAAAAGGTGCAAGAAAAAATGTATGCAAAAATCATTCACTTTTCTTTGTCAATCAAATTATCAAAGAGTAGAAATTCGGATAAAAGAAATATAACTAAACTAAAGTAATATGGTCTAATCAAAATGAGATTTCAGCTCGTTAAAGACGAATTCAAACAAAATTATTATGATTAACTTATTCCGAACTCATTTTCCGTTCAAGAAAAAAATAAAAATAGCATAGTGAATAGTCTCATAATTTCAACTTTCAGGTCCGACGGCCTAGAAAGGAAAGATAACAAAACACATAATTAGATTCTAGATAATGAAAGCAAAGGTGTGACTGATGACTTGATAAAAATCAGAAATATGAGTCAAACATTGACTTGAAAACCCAAATTTAAAGCTATCCACTAATTGGCAAAATACTTTTATTTTTATTTTTATTATTTTTTTCAACTTTATATTTTTATTAGATTAAATATTAGATTAGTCACGTATAAGATTGAAATCACACTATCATGCAAAGATTCAACACATTTCTACTATTATGGTAAATGACGACTTGCAATTGGCAAACTACTCCCAACCCGTTTCGTTTCCGGTTCAATTCTCAAAACACGCAAAGGTCCAGAAACCTTTCTTACAAGACATACTCCCATGAGATGGTCTTGGTTTAATTGTATTTTTCAAATTTTTATTGTGTTAGTGGAGGGACTCATCTGTGATTTTGTGGAATTAATTCGAAGGAGGATCTTTTTCAGATTTATTTTGTGAGAATCATAGAAATCTTCACATTCTAGTCATTTATCATACATCATGTGATTAGTTTTCATGAGATACTATTTGTGTTTAATTTAATTTAAGAAAAATTAAATGATTTCTGACCGCACGATACATTATGAATGATTAAGATGTGAGGATCATGATTTAATTGTATTTAAAAAAATTTTATTGTGTCAGTGGTGGGACTCATCTGTGGAATTAATTTGAAAGAGGATTCTATTTGGATTCACTTTGTGGGAATCCTAAGGATCTTCACATCTTAGCTGTTTATCGTACATCGTGTGGTCAAATACGATTTGTGTTTAATTTTAAATAAAAAAGTCAAATAATTTTTTTATTACAATATACGATAAATGATTAAAATATGAAGATCAATAGGATTCCCGCAAAGTAGATTCGGATGGAATCCAATTCCAATTAATTTTTAAAAGAAGAGGCACACGTGGATGGAGAGTCCGGCGTCGCGTTAACAATCGACGACTACCAGTGCGAGGGTTCGAAGCCTACACTCCAAACCAAGAGAAAAGAAAAAGCAGAATATTCGAATTCGTAAACTCGGCGGCGAGGCATGAATAATGCAGTGGAGGAGGAAGTGGAAGTCGAACCTCCACTCGCGGTCCTATTGGCTCCAAAACGAGGGAAAACAACCAAGACCAAGCGAAAATCCCAACCAGCAACAACATCCAATCAGCAGAACCCAGAGCCGGAGCCAGTTCGAATCGAGCCGGAGTCTGTTCGGATTGAGCCGGAGCCTGTTGGAGTTGAGCCGGAGGGAGTTCGAATTGAGGCGGAGCCAGTTCGAATTGGGGAAGAAGGCTCGAGGAATGGGCCTAGGGTTAGCGTTTCGATGTTCGACGACTCGGTGGAGAATCACTTCAGAGTTATGGACACCATTGCCAAGCTCTGCGGCGAGGCGGAGGAGGATCGCGGCGTCGAAGACGGCGACATTCAACGCTTATCGTCCTCAATTACTTTTCTAAGGTAGTAACAAATTAAATCCCTATCTATTCGTAGTGTTTTTGTTGCTTAATTTTGTAAAGAAACGTTTTTTTCTCGTTTGTTCATTGTAAAGAAACGTTTTTGTTGAAGGGAATGGGCAGATTTTAAGTATGAACCTCGAGATGTTCGATTTGCTTGTGGAGTTGGAAGTCCTGAGGGGGAGGATGTCGTCGGCGGTATAAACTTGCGGCAATTTTCTTCTGCAACAGTTCCTAAGGTTATATATTCGAATTCGAATTTATGGTCGGTTTGCCTGTAATAGTTTTGCAAAGGATGAGCTGTAGTGATGTCTCTCATTCTCATATGAGGAAATAAAGTTGGCATTTGATCTAATTTGCGGTTTACATGTTAATGCAGAACGAGGCACTTTCTGGGGTCGCACAATCTCCGGAGTTGAGGTACATGAATTGGCATTAGCAATGAAGCATTTTGTGATGATTTAGTTGTTTCGTGCTTGTGTTTTTGCGTTTCATTCGCTATTCTACTTTTCAAATTTCTCGGAGATTGTTGCTTTTGTTGACCAAAAAATTCAAATGTAAACTTGATGTTAGTCTTGTATATTGGATTTTCGCTGCCACCTAAACAAGCACTGATATACATCTCCAAATGTCCTTTATACATTTTTGCAGCCAAGACTTTGTGATGTATGTTGGAGGGCCTGTTTGGGCGTTAGATTGGTGTCCTAGAGTTCATCAAAGTAGCGATGGTCATCCAAAATGCGAGGTACATGATCTTTTTGAGGCCCTTCCTTCTTTCATTCTTGTCAAAGTCTATTAATTTAAGGGTCTACAACTTTCGCTACTTCTCATAGAAGGAAATGTGATATGATAACTTTTGCTATTTACAAAGTTATTTTTGTAATGTTTGACGTTAACATTCTTGATCATTAGTGGTTAGCTACTTCAACAGATTCCTTGATAATGTTAAGGGCCTTAAATGGTGAACTCTGAAATATTAGTTTTGAGCAATGTAAGAAACTTCCCTTGGCTAGTTTTCTCTCAAATGGACGAGAAGTCTCCTTTTAGGTGATTCTTAGTATGGTTTTCCATCTTCTTCTTGCTTTCTTGGGTTCAGTTTCTTATGTTTACGTCATTAAATTAACATTATTTTATTAATCATGCTAGTAAATTTGCACATACACATACATTTGGCAATAGTTGTCTAACTTTGATGTTGGACCATAGTGATAATTCGTTTTCCTTTTTGTGAAAAGATACAACTAGATTTCAAATATTTATGCTACTCCTTGTGTTATTGTCAGCATCATCTGTAAAATTGGTGAGGTTTATACAAGTTAGTGAACTTTTATCATGTTAAAGTAGTTCTCGTCTTCTATTTTATGACAACGTTATCATCACCGTACTTTGCAGTTTATTGCCGTAGCTGCTCATCCTCCTGGATCTTCTTATCACAAATTAGGCGAGCCACTGACTGGGAGAGGTGCCATTCAGATATGGTGTCTTTTAAATTCTGGTGTAAATAAGGAAGACGAACATTCAATAGCAGAAAAGCAAAAGCAGGGCCGTAAGAACAGTGGAGCCAGACAAGAAAATTCAACTGAACCAAAGAAGCCTTTAGGGAGGCCTAGAAAGAAGCCAATAGAAGAAAAATTAACTGAACCAAAGAGGCCTAGAGGAAGACCTAGAAAGAAGCCAATTGAAGAAACTGCTGACAAAGAGGCCACAGAAGAAAAATCAACTCGACCAAAGAGGCCTAGAGGAAGACCTAAAAAGTATGCAGTAGAAGATTATGTTGACAACTTGGATGAGAGCAATGATTATGTTGAGGTTCTTGCCATCGAATATCCAGAGGGATCACTAGAGTTGCCTTCTACGGATTGTGTTCCTGCAAATACTCATGTGCATGTTGTACCAGAAGATCATGGTAAAAAACGAAAGAGTTACAAACATGCAGCATCTGCATCTGATCCAGCTTGCAAATCACATGTTCAGAGGAGAAAATTGGATAATATGGAAAGTGCAGGGAGTAGTAACAGTTATGCATGTCCACCGTTGTCAAATCAAGATGGGGAGAAAGGATCATTTGTTTCAGATCATCATACACAGCAGAATTATGGACAGGATCCTCATAACAGTTATACATGTCCACCATTGTTGAATCAAGATGGGGAGAAAGGACCACTTGTTGATCATCATACACATCAGAATTCTGGACAGGATCCTCTTAATAGTTGTACATCCCCACCGCTGTTGAATCAAGATGGGGAGAAGGGACCACCTGTTTCAGATCATCACACAGCGCAGAATTCTGGACATGATCCTCAAACAAGCAAAAATGTTCAAAATAATGGTTACTCTGAAACTGGCTTGACCAGGTGTTCAGTTCCGACAGATGTAGCATTGCCACGAATTGTATTATGCCTGGCTCACCATGGAAAGGTTGCCTGGGATGTGAAATGGCGTCCTCTTAATGAACGTGATTCCAAAAGCAAGCATCGGATGGGCTATCTTGCTGTGCTGTCAGGAAATGGGTCTCTGGAAGTGTAAGGCATCAACCTACTTGTTTATAAATGGTTCCTTTTCGTTTCTTACACTTTAGGTCCTTTAACATTATTCTTTTTTTCGACCTACTTGATATCTATATCTATTAGATCTCTTCTCAAAAGATTTGCAGTTTCTTTCGTTGCAGTCAAGATAATATTTGAGTGCACTGCAACATGCAATTTGCAGTTTCTTCCTTTTACATTAGTCCTCGACTAGCTAAATGACTTTGTGTTCCGCTATCTCATCATACTTATCCTGGACCATTTTAAATGCAGGTGGGATGTTCCTCTTCCTCATGCAATTGAAGTTATTTATTCTTCTTCATGTGGTGAGGGCACTGATCCTCGCTTTGTAAAATTAGCACCAGTTTTCAGATGTTCAATGTTGAAGTGTGGTGGTGAAAAGAGGTACCCTGGAAGTATATTCCTCATTTTTGATAATAATTTGGAAGTTTTCTTAGATTGCCATGTAATTTAGAGCATCATTTCCAAGTTTTTGACAACAATAAAATCATATCAGAATTTCCCCGGCTTATTTTGATTGGTGTATGAGATTCCCATATGCATGATATCATCAGTGAAGAACTATTTCATTTGGTTTGTGCACTGATTTCATTTGCTGCATAATCTTGTAGAATATGCATGGGCTTCTCACTGCATTCAGATGTCTCACTTGACCATGTTATGTGACGTTATATGATTAACTGGAAATTTGAAATCCATTGCATTGTTGAACAGCATCCCTCTTACTGTGGAATGGTCACCTTCACCACCTTATGATTACCTACTTGTTGGATGCCATGATGGAACGGTGATTTTCTTGCACCTCATTCTTTAATGTTTCTTTAATATATTTTCCTTGTAGACTTTTATCATGTGTTTGCATGGTTTAAAAAAAAAAATTCATGTTAACTGATGAAGGGTTTCCATAAAAGGATAAGTACTCAATGGGCAACCTTGTGGTTATTCTTCATTCTGATAGAAGGATACATGTTAAACATTTCGTGTATTTGTTTTTGAATTTGCTAGTTCCATCTCCTCCATCCCACTCAGCGTCCAGCTGGAAGGAGTCTCTTTCTTTAGTTACTTGTTCTTTTTTTCTTGATATTATAACTAAAAGAAGTTTTTGATGTGTTCAGGTTGCTTTATGGAAGTTTTCAGCAAGTAATGCATCTCAAGGTATGGCTATCATGTGACTTTTAACTTTACTAATAAGTAAACTAAGAATGTTAGCTTCAATTCTCCACTTGTTGCTCAGCAGATACAAGGCCTTTACTTTGCTTCAGTGCAGATACAAATCCAATAAGGGCACTTGCTTGGGCCCCGGCTGAAAGGTTAGCTATGTTGGAAATCAATTTGTAGTTACTTCTTTATGTGGTACTTTACGGTCTTCTTTTGAAGTTCCGTGGGGCTATGTGTGTTGTAAGGGTTGTCTTGAATGTCACTAAATTATGATATAGGCATAGAGATTGCTATTTCAGGCTCTTATTTATTTATTTTATCAAGTTTATATTTATTCGTTCAGATATGTGAAATGCAACTGTTTGTGAATTTCAGCAATTCAGAGGGTGCCCATCTTATAGCTACTGGTGGACATGGAGGCCTAAAATTTTGGGACCTGCGGTAAGTATCATGGCTTGTTTTTTATTACGCTCATGTGTAGTTTCTCCTCTACTGTTAGTTAAATGCTTGTGGTTTTTAGTGTAAATTGCATTTCATAGTAATGCACAACTTTTGGTTTTGCAGTGATCCATTCCGTCCATTGTGGGACCTCGATCATTTACCAAGGTTCATATATAGTCTGAATTGGCTTCCAGATCCAAGGTACTCACAGTCTCGGTGTGAAACATAAGTGTAACTATCTGGTTGGTGTGCATATGTACACATGTATTATATACTTTTCAGTTTTAGTGGGTGTTGTGTTTTTTTAGGTGTGTTCTTTTATCCTTTGATGATGGAACAATGAAAGCTATCAGCTTGGTGAAGGCTGCATCCGATGACCCTGTAACAGGAAGGGTTGGAACAAAACAACCGGGCCTGCATAATCTCAGCTGTTTGCCTTTTGCTATCTGGAGTGTTCATGCCTCGCGATTAACAGGTCTTCCTTGTGCTTTTCTATCTGGAATGGTATTTCAGTTGATTACAAATGTGTGCATATATGTATATCAATTATATCAGAGTTGACCATATGGGTACATATCAGTATGGCCTAATGGCAAATGGCTCAACCGTCTGCAACCTGGTGCTAAGTTCAGTGCACTGAGAGAAGCATACTCAAAATGAAAAATGGCCTTATTTTTCTTTTTAAGGAAAAGAAAAGGAAATTTATATATGGTACCCGGATCTCTGAGGTTCAATAGTCTCATTGACTGCTGAATTTACATAAGCATACTGTACATAAGATTAGATAGATACTATGTATTATCCACTCATTTCTTCTAATTTTCCTTGTTTGGACTTATTCCTCATGCAATTGAACTGCGTAAGCATTGGCTATCGAATTCTTAATTTTTTTGGGGAAGTGTTGCTGTGTCTCAAATTCCTATTCTCCCTTGATGCTTAGCCTCCTGCTTGCCAAAATTTTTAAATCATTGCAATTGACCATAAATTTCACACAGCGAGCATGCTACTCATACGTCTGTGGCTGTGCCTTGGCTATTTTTTTAAAATAAACTTTGTGAACGGGAAGAGTTGTCTGGATTGACATTGACGGCGGTGGGATTTCATGATTGATCTACATTGTCATATACTTCTGTGGAACTTCTGATTCCAGCTTTTTTTAATATCCTCTAATTGGAGAACTCCCCTTTCAAATCTCAGGTATGGTTGCATATTGTGGTGCAGACGGAACTGTTCTTCGCTTCCAGGTGAGTTTCAACTTCTTCCATTGATATCACTATATCAGACGTATTTTATCTTTCTTGTAGACATGCTCAACATCACTTTTCAGTCGTGGAGGTAAATTCTTGATTTATAGACGCTATACCACCGTGTCTAAATTTTTTACTAACATCAGACCTGCGGTAAATTTTTTGTTATTATTTTCATATCATCAGCTTACAACTAAATCTCTGGAGAAAGATCCTCGACGAAACCGAGCCCCACATTTTCTGTGTGTGTCATTGACAATGGAGGAATCTACTGTAACCATCAATACTCCAGTATCAAATTCCCCTTTCCCTCTGAAGGTAGCTCGTAACAATGCCGAGTCAAACAAAGTGAAAACTACTAATGATAAGATGGCAAAAGATAACACATCTGAAGATCAAAGTTTAGGTAAAGCTTTGTCAATTACGTAACCCTCGACATTCTCTTTAATCCCCTATGTTCTTAGTTCCATCTTTTGGAATGTTCATCAAATTGTCTCTTTGTCGCAGCTCTTTGTTACGGTGATGATCCAGGTATTGAATTGGAAGCTGGGGGAGAAGTGGCACCTCTCAAAAGCAAAAAAACACAGAAATCCAAGTCCAGTATGAAAAAACCAGATGATGACCGGGCATTGGTATGCATAGATGAAGAGCCGACTACTACGCAGGAAGAAGAAACTGGGGCGGCTTCTCTCAAAAGCAAAAAACCAAAGAAATCAACATCCAGTAAGAAAAATGCGGATGATGACCAAGCATTGGTATGCATGGATGAAGAGCCGACTAATCGAGAAGAAGAAACCGTGAAAGAGCCAGAAGTTTTTCCTGACAAAACAGTAGCAATGCATAGAGTGAGATGGAACATGAACAACGGTAGTGAGAGATGGCTGTGTTATGGAGGGGCAGCCGGAATTATTCGGTGTCAAGAGATTGTTTTGTCCGACGTCGATAGGGCGTGGGCAGCAAAGAGATGAGAAGCCATGTTTCTTGTATGTAGTCTTGTCTGTAAAATGGAAAAGAGATAACGAAATTAATCTATGAATTTTTGAGTTAGTTAATGCCATTTCTTTGAATGGTGCTTTTACCATCGATTCCCAAATGTTCACTGCAAAGCAGATTTCTCGGTGGAATAAGAAATTCAAACTTAGGGAGCTCTTTCAACATCGAAAAGAAAAGTATCATTAGGCTAAGTGTTGGTACATACAATTTTAATTAGTCAGAGTTTTCGTTAAGAAACTAATATTTTAGTTCCGTGCATGATAACTAATAGTTGACATTCTAGTCTTGATTTTGGATCTATTTCGTCAGTAGAAGTTTATTTTTATTTGGGAGAAAAACGTGAAAGAGAAAATAGGGGGCAACTGATATGTTACCTTACCTGTGAGGCTGTGAAAAAAAGAAAGTAAAATTATTGTGTTTAATGTACCAGATTGCCTAAAACTTTTATTTTGGTTATTTTTCTTCAGTTTCGTTGACAAATTCATTTGGTATTTTCACCTTCTTTTAATTGACAAAGAATGTCTTTTCGCCCAATTAGCAAACATGCTAATTGGCAAGCATTTATTGAATAAAGCAACCCTAGTTATCTTGCCATTTATTCTCTCTTATTCGTCCATTTATTAAATGGAGAAGATAAATAGAGAAGGTAGCTAGCATTCATTGCTTTTTGAACAAGTAACAAACATTCATTTGACGAGTGACGTTACTAAGATTGTGCATTGGTTACAAAAAAAAAAAAAAAAAAAAACATCTCTCCATTCGTACATAAAGACATTGGAGCTTTATGTTCAATTCCTTCCATGACATCAGAAAGAAAAAAGACATTCGTATGACAAAAATTTGTCAATATAACGTCCACCCTACAAGCTCCCTAACAAATCCAACATCGGAAAACAAAGCTCCGGTGGTCGGTAATATAGGCAAGACCTAAATTGCAAGCCGACACTCCTACCACTCTATTAATCCTAGTGAAATCTCCCTCGTACATTTTATCTCTCTCTTTTACGTGCCACCAAACTTTCGCTGCATGAATTTCCAATGCCGCATGCATTGATCCGGTGGCAATAAGATCGTCATCTTCATACGTTAACCCTATCAATGCAGCTGAAAAAAATTGAAGTTCCATCATAATACAAATTGACAATGTAAAGAATAGTCTAGTTATTTATAACACATACAATATTTCTCTTTTTTTTCGATATGTTCACTCTCAACACTGTGAAAACACATTGCTTTTGCCTTTTTTTTTTTTTTGTGCACATAGCTCACTCATGAAAAAAATTATGGATTTGCCTCTGGAAGTGAGTGAAAGATGTTGAGGATCGCACACTATCACCAAAATTTGCTTTCCTTTAAATAATATGTCTTCTGTTTTTTTTTTGTTTTACATTTGAAGGAAAGCAAATTTTGGTGGTGGTGCGTGACTTGCTCGATCATGTGAAATTATTAAGATCATGTTATTTGAACATCATATCATAAGTGTGATGTTTTGGCGACATTTGTATGAGAAATTAGTAACAACATGAAACGTACATTTAGACTAGTAGTTGAGGTTGGTTTTGGAGCACATATATATGTTGGAGTTTATCCTAATAGCTAATACATGTTACAAATGTTTCAAAAATGCCGCGATGAGAATAAATTAAGATATCAAGGGAAACTAATATAATATATTCGTATACCGTTATTCAAACGATGATTTTCCTTTCAAACACCTTATACATCAAATATATTCCTATGTTTGTTCGGATTAAAATCATAGCCAATAACGAACAACCGTATTTGTATTTTTGACGGCTTCTCGATTACAGTGCTTTCGTTTGTTCTTGCACTATTGTGATTTATTGGATGTCCATATTTTTGATATCTTAGAGCTTTCTCAATGGTGTTACATTGATTAGATTCAACCAACTAATGGCATGTCATTTCTCAATATCCACTTAGTGATGCCTGCAAGTAATATGGCTCCAAATCTTGTTTGGTCAATCCTAGGAAGATTTAAACAGCTGTCTCCTGAACTTATACACTTGACATGAATTCATTGTGCATTGACAGTTATAGAATCTTCTTGCTTATCTAAGTTCATCACATGTTAAGTTATGTGTTGTTATCGAATCTATGAGTTAATTTTGGGCTTAAAATCATTTAATAAATGATAAGTAAATTTATTTTCAGTTACACATTCAACTCTCTCATATCTTCTTCACCTCGTGATTTCATCAAGGTTATCTTCTTCTATCTCTTCTTCAGCTTACGATTTTCTCTTAAATTTTCGAATCAATCAGACACAATAAGTGCCCCAAGAACGACAACCACTCATCACCCAAAATGTGTTCGATGAATTCTTTGCTATACACTACAGTGGGATTTTCAGACTTCTTTTTTCTCAGTTTATCTAACAAATTTAAAATATTATTACTAAGCGAGTAATTTCAAATTCCATTACTTCTAATCCCATCATTACAACATCTCTTCTATTTACAAACAAGCAACTTGAAAAACTTACCAGTGTTATATATATAGCAAATGAATAACTTCATGAGCGAATAATTGTCATTGATATTTTCCTATGGATGCTTATGACATTGGGTTAACATCAAATTTTCTATAAAAATGATATCAAAATATGAATAATATGTGCAAGTGGTCATTTACCACAGTGGTGAAAAGATGTTGAGCCTTTAAGCCCTTGCATGATGGCGTGGGTTCGAACCCTTCGGTGACTAATCTAACAAAATATATTGTGTGATAAAAAAAAAGAAAAGAAAAGAAAAGAAAAATATGTACGTCAACAGTTTATTAGTTGGTTAGTTCAATCCAATCATTTTATGTTTGGGGTTAGATCAGTTAAGCCAGAATAGTGTGGTCGCTTCTTTAACCTAAGTTTAGTTCCCGTCGCCGTGAATTAGAGCCTCTGCACAATACAAAATTTGATGGCTCGGGCTCGATTGCAAGTTCGAGCTAGAAGCCCATTTTCCCTTGCCCATTCAATTGAGCTTTCGCAAGCCCAATGGGCCTCAAGTTGCTCTAACAAAGTGGATCCCATCTTCATAAGAGGAGTTCTTTGTATACTCAAGTTTCATTTCTGGACGTCTATCAATTTTAATTGAAAGAAAATGACTCTTATACCCTATATAAAGTTACCATAAAAGGCTCAGTGATTTCTTAGGGAAAATAATTATTTGCTTTGGACACCCGTAGACTTCTGAAATAAAAAAATTCATTATTTTCATTACAACTTATCACTTATGTTTCGCAACATCTTCTGGAACTCAATATCACTGTTGAAATGCAAATTACACCCCTTAATATTTAAAACTTGATTTTCGTCTCATTTTGTCACTTTCCAGTAGTTTCATTATGAAATTTGTCAAGTCTCCGACGTGACATGAATAAGACCCTCTTACATGGTGACATATTTGCCACCTCTTTGCCATATCAGGTTAAAACTATACGTAATATTGGAAATGGATTCTCTCCGGATTTCTTCCTCCTAATCCACTAAATCAGAGAATCCGTACAGTTGAAAATTGATTCAACGGTTACAAATATGGTCCCACTTTAAAAGTTATAATAACTTCAGCTGTTAAATCAAATTTCAACAGCACGGATTACTTGATTTGATGAATTATGAGGAATTTCCCGTAATATTTTAGAAATGTATAAAAAAACATTAAAGAATCACTTAAAAAAATAAAAGAAGGAAATTAAAAATGAGATCCGGGGGCGAGACAAGTGCAGACGACCAGAAACTTGAGTACCCGGATTGCTCCCAACCCGCTTCGTTTTCGGGTCGGTTCTGAATTCCCGGTACTGCCTTGCCTCGCCATTCAGAGGGATGGCGGGACTGCTGGCATGGGCAGCAGACGTAGTGGGAGGAGGTGGAGGCCAAGACAACGAAGAAGACATCCCACTGATATTCACTCAGGAGCAGCAGAAGTATGTCCTGGACTTGGATCGCAAAGCATCTTCTCTCAGCCGTTCGATCCGTGATCTCCGGCTCAGACTACCTCCTTCTGACATCTCCCAGCGCCTCCCTGATCTTCACGCCCACTCCCTCGCTTCCAACGCCGCCCTTGCTCTCCAATTGAACGCCCATTCCACCACCCGCGAACAGGTCCGGTTCGGTTCGTTTTAGTTCTCGAATTTCGATTGATTTTTCTTATCTGGGTTGTTGATTTTTGTTATGATTCTTATTGAATTTGGATGTTCTGATTCGAATTCGGTGGTTTTTGTATCTGGGTTTTTTGTTTGGATTGCTATTTTTGTGTACAACTTTGAATTGTTGCACATATTCTTCTAATTTTGGGTTTATGTGATTGTTTATTTTTTGCTATGGCAGTTGTGTAGTTTAAGTTTTGAGTAATCGAAAAGGTGCTGTTTTTCGTCTTTTAGTTTTCTTTCTTAATAGTTCCGATTTGTATTTGTGAACAGGCACAGTTGAGGGAGGTGACATTGCAGGAAGAGAATGCTGCATATGAAAGGGCAATATCGAATTGTGAAAGTAAAATACAGGAAAAAATTCAAGAAGCGGATTTGCTTAAGAGGAAGCTAATGGTGAGCCTTGAGTTTCCCACAACTTATTTTTGCACGATGCTCATATTCATCATGTATTCTAGGCATACACATGTATTATAATCTTGTATCTGATGACATTGAGTAATATCGTATTTTTGTTAATGGAAACCACGCATTTTCTGAATTTATTTATTTATTCTTGTTATCAGGAGATGGACGAGAATGAAAGGAAATTGAGATATGAACTTGAAAATGCACAAACTGCATTGGATGCCAGTCGATCTGGTCAATCAGATGAATCCACTGGTGACCCAAAGACAACTGTTGAAACTGAAAATGACATAGAAGCTTCAAAGAAGGCTGTACTTGAAAAGTTAGAGGAGAGGAAAAAAGAACTGGTCAGTCTCATCTTCCTTTTGATCTTACAGTTGTTTCATCTTCGTTCATTGCAGATGTGTTTGTAATTTGGATTTATTTTATCTCGATTGCTGAAAAGATGTTGTGATCTCCCAGAGTTCAATGGAAGCAGTAGTGAAAGATTTAGAGCAAAAATGGACAGAAATTCAAGATATTGCATTGAGTCAGCCTTCGCCAGGTGGATATAGTACAATACTCATCCGATTTGTTTGTTATATAGTGTTTGTTTGCTGTTTGAATGCATTTAAACTTTCAATTTACAATAGCCATTTAGTTATTTTTTGTTTGGATATATTGTTGGCCTTGGGAACATTCAAGCAAATAAGGTTTACACAAAATTAGAAACTGAAAAATTTTGAACAAGAAAATGGGGAAGGGGTAAGAAATTTATGGTTAGTTGAGTTCTTTACTTCTGTTTTTGGGTCGGGTTTATAAAAGTCAAACTTAGTTGTGTGTACCGCATGGCGAGCATGGTATTGCCTTTTGGAATCTCAGTGGTGCATATGGTGCAGCATGTGGCTCTTGTATAAATTCATTAACCGCTTCTCGGCTGAATTTTGCAACTGTTAGTTGAAACCCCTTTAAGCAAACTATCAGTCATTCTAGTTTGTATGACTAATTTGTAAGCAATTTGTTTTGTGCAGTGCAAAGAGAGAAGATTTTGGATAAACAACTGCACAGCCTAATTGAGCAGCTAGAAGCAAAGCAGGTATATCCGTAACTTTTCAGTAATATTTGAATTTTATTATTTCTCAGATGTCATTTGTATTATTCTCTGTTCATATATGGTAAAAAATTTGTTCATTGTTATCTCGAGTGTTTATAGGCACAAGCAGAAGGCCTGGTCAATGAAATTCATTTGAAAGAGATGGAGCTGGAAAGATTGAATGCGTTATGGAGAAATCTTGAAAGTAGCAACATAGAAATGAATAATACTAGAAATAGGTTTGGACGGAGTGCATCAGGAAAAGGACCTGCTTCGTCTGGTTATATCCTTGATGCTAATCATAGAAATGCCGATGGCCGAGCAGAGAATCAGCAAAGGCTCATGCTGCTCAGGTCGGGTTTTGTGCTTTACATTTTGGCTTTGAACATCTTGGTCTTCATCAAGATCTCGTTTTGATGAGTGTTCCATGAAGACGCTATCAATATTTCCAAATTCTCTTTGTATGTTAAACCCAATATGTCTTGTATTGTAAAAGAGGGGGTGTGAAGAACTTTGTTGTATGAAATATTCTTTGTTTCAAATATTGAACGTATATAAATAAAGAAAGTTACTTTGTTTTACTAGTTATTTTGTAAGACTCAATTCTCTTGGAGTGATGGGAGTATTTCCACCGTCCTTCATTTTCGTCCCACAACTTTTTTTTGTTTTGTTTTCTGTGGTTCTCAAACTCACTCTCGGATGACATTTTGATCCTTTCCGTTAACTCCATTCATTTTTCTAGCGGACACCAAAATCACCGGCAAAACATGTAGAGCAGTAGAAATCTAATGGAGGCATATTAATCTGCTAATTTTGAATCCAGTATTCAGCAAATTTTATTAACCGGTAATGCAACAAATTCATTGTGACGTTGTGGATTGATAGGCGTGTCTTCTTTCATAGCTGAGGAAGTAGAGAGCGAGCGAATAGGGAGCGAAAGAGAAAGAAGGCAGCCGACGCCCCCATGGATGCTCACGCAGCACAACCGGCGAGCAGAGCCAACCCCCAACCATTACAGTCACGAGACGCACGGGCGGATAGAAATGCCTATAGATGAGGTAGGCGAGGGTAGCTAGCCGGCAAGGGGCGTGTATGGTAGTCTATTTTTGTTTATGAGAACGAGAAGGGCAATTGACTGCAACGTTTTTCGGCCTATTGAACACCTCCCAGCCTCTGAGACCACCAAACGAGTTGTTTCTGCCACCTGCCCTGGTTGCGGCAACGAGTACACTATCAACAAACGTACTAAGAAAGAAATAGATAAGCTTCGATTAACAAAAAAACTTGGACTAGAACTAAATTTGTGCGCTGCTAAACATAAACACATGTACCTGCTGAATCGTTACATGAACCAAGCCCAAGGAGGAAAGGTTTCTTCCTGTTATCAGGCATGCTCGCAAATAGCTTTCTCCAAGTTGCATCGCCATGGAAAAGCTTCAAAAGCTTTTGAATATCATCGTCAAAGTTCCTCCATGTTCAAACTTTCCAAGCATAGCACCATTTCTTCATGTCTGCAACATCTTATGCAGCTGATTGAACATCGTCAGTTGAACTCTCGGCAATTTCTCTGTCATTGTTTGAGTCATTATTTTCATCTTTTGAATCTGAGGGAAGCCTGCCTATTGCTGCTGAAAGAAGCATGGGATCATCCTGCAGTTGTTCCAATGAAGCCTGTGAGGATAATCTGATTCCGGTACTTGGGCAAATGTAGGTCCCTAGTGACAAATTTATGGTCATGTTGGTCCTGGGATGCGATTCCAATAGGTTTTACATATAGAGATGGAGGTTCAGGTGTATCTCCAAGGGCCTAATGCATGCCCCTATATGGAAGAATCTTATATCCGCCTCTCCTTATGCCTAAATTTAGAGTGAAGTCAATTCTAAAGTACGTGAATACGATATAGGGATTTTTCATGGAACTTCAAGAGCATGTGTAAATGTGCCTCATAAGCCAACTGATTTGAAAGGACAGATGTTAAAATTTCTCCCTTTAAATATCAACATATGGTAATAGTAATGCACTAATTATATATTGAGAGTGATCATTCTTTTACTATTTCAAAAGGCTGTGTTTGCCTGAATATATTACTCAACATGTGAGTCAAGAAATTATTTTACATTTGCTCAACTTGCTAAATTTGTCGTCTTAAGTTTTTACTCAAAACTGAAATAAGACTTTGCGTTGGTCAGTTCATCCAACCTGAATCCCAATATTCCAATCACCACGGGGTGGTAAAGTGGTAGAACGAATTCTAGACCTGTATCTCACACGACACATTTTGAGTTCGATTTTTTTTATTGGTGAATCATACAATGATGGTTAGAGAAAACTGAAATGTCTCTGTAAGTCTTTCTAAACCCGAAAGGGTAGAATGCTATAGACAAACCACAATCATTCAGCCTTACAGATGTGCTTTATCTCATGATCACATTATATCAACGCTAGTACATATCCATTAATATTATAAAGCTTAAATTAATAACATCATCATCACGCTAAAAAATTAAAGTTTGTGTGTGAGAACAAGTGGTGCGTTTGAGAATCATATTTCATATACACCGAAATTAATACTGTAATGAACAACGAAATTTCGCTGTCGTCCGATTGTCCATACGCTTTCGAAATATTAGGAAGTAAACTACTCACCTAAACTTTATACAAAAATATACCAGTAGCCAGCAAACACCAGCAAATTTTTGCAAGTACGTTGTCTTTTTCACCAAGATAGTGCTAGCATAATCATAATAACTCAAATCTATGTATCTACCATATGCATCGAGCACTTTTTTTATCATTATTAGTTATGAGGATGGATCCGTAACACAATTTTTTTTTTACATAATCTTTGACCCATTTTTCTTTGTGGGATCAACTTCGTAATATATTTTAACGATTCGAATTTTTTTTATCATTATTAGTTATGAGGATGGATACGTAACACAATCTTTGACCCATTTTTCTTTGTGGGATCAACTTCGTAATATATTTTAACGATTCGTCCATCTTTAAGATTTTCTTTGAAAGATCATCTCTAACAAAAATCACCCAAATCTGAAAACATATGAACGTTGGATTAAGGGCTTAGGGTTTATTTGTGGGACCATATTAGTCTATTTTCTTCACTAGAAATGAATGTATTAATGGTCTGGATTTGTTTAATTTTTTGCAAGGATGATTTAGAAATAATGTTTTATAAGATAGACGGTTTGGATTATTAAAATACAATAAGGAGTGGGTCCCAAAACAACATGTCAACAACTAAGTAAAAAAAAGTGATGTCACGAATCTGCCCCATTAATTATATAGGGAGCATTTTTGCTCACCACCATTTAGTGTGATGTATACTTACCACCCTATCTATCACAGTTAGATGAGTATGAATTTGGAGATTCGTGTAGTGGATATGCACAAATCTCAAAATTCAAACTCATCTAACGGTGATAAATAGAATGGTGAGCATACACCACATTAAATGATGGTGAACAAAAATGCACTTTAATTATATATAATCACATTGAAATAAACAAAATATAAATGTGTATAAAATATAAACAATGTGGACGTATAATGTTTCATCAAGCATTTTATTATAATTTACCTTTTTATGTTGCAATGACGATATCTCAAACTAACTATGGATTGTTATGATATTTAATATTTCTAGAGTAACATTCAAAGTGCGCGGAACTTCTTCCCCCCGTCAGGATGTTCTGTGCCCGGATTTCAACATATACAGCAAAATCTCATTCCACGTATCAATGGGTCCAGGCAAACACCAGTGAACACAGTCAGCAACAGTCATGTTCCGGTGAGGTGAGTGTCCATAGAAGTTAGGATGTCCATCAGGCCTCAGCAACATAGCTTCAGTTGTATCCATTAACCTAAATTCAAGGCCTCTTTTCATACCTTTCTTTTCTGCTGCTTGTAGCTCCTCTACTTGTGCCAAATACATCTCCAAAACACGCCCAGCGAGCTTCATTTCTTCTTTGCTAAAAGGCCTTGTCCTCGCACAATTTCCTCCCTCGTTCCACGCCCCGTTTTCGAAGTGTGCCGGCGAAAACGTCCTCAAAAATGTCACTCCCTTGTAGTTTTTGAGGTTCTGAAGGGTCCTGAACACCGTTTGGAATGCCTTTTTGTAGCCGTAGTGCGTGAGAAAAGATTTCATGTTGTCTCGTCCGCACTTGTGACACCCTATAACGCGACCATTTTCGTAGTACATCAGCGGCAGGAAGAACCATTGGCCTGCTGAGACGATGACATAATCAAAATTTTCAACCTCAGTTTCCCAAGCCTCGTCGGGCTCGTCTAAGTATAGGGTCCTGATGCTGTTGATGTTGTGGCCATTCGGGTCCACGTCTCGAGATTTAACCAAGTAGGGTGCCCAGAGATTTGCCATAGTGAAGTTGTAGTCGTGGTACACATAACGCTTGAAATAATTCGTGTTTGTTGAATACTTGTGAGAAACGTCTTCAGGATAAGTCACCTGAAAGAAAGAACAACGTCAGTTCCATAGCCTGACTTTCTTGAAATTACTCAAAATCTTTGTACTGATTTGTAAAAAGAAAATTACGGACGTCATTTCCATAGCCGGACTATCTAAGAGTAATTGAAGGCTTACACTGGACAAAAGGCAGAGCAATGACCGCATTTGATTCATTCCCACGGAATCACCAAGAAATGCCAATGACTTCCCTCTAACAAGCTCCAAGAACTGAGCTGCATCGAACAATGGCAACTCGCAATTTTTGGGCTTCCACCTCCATTTCATGAACTCCGTGTCGGGCCTCCCGAATTTCATGCAGTTCTGCTGATCAATGATCAAATTGCAAGTTTCATTTGTGTAGTAAGCAGGTCCATCTGGATATGGAATCCAATTCCCAGTAAATATTTGGCATTGGTCTTCGTTTTCAATGGTTTTTAATCCACTGGTAATGTTGCTGTTTGGAGATAGCAATGGAGAAGTTGTGCTGTTGTTAATGCAGATAGGGATTGAGGTGAGCAGAAGAAGGGTGAGGGCTAGAAGAATACCTTTTTTGTAGGTGTTGTTTGGTTGTGTGTATTTTGCATTAGGCAGATCAATGGCTTGAAACTTCATGGTGGAGAATTGTGAGGCAAGATTATAGATTATTGGATTCTTGAAATATATTTATATATGGGTAATATGTCTAATGATAATGTGATAATTGAGGAAAATTAGCAAATAATTTGTTATGGTATGGGTTACCAACCAAATTATGATGCAACTTTTCTTTTGGTGGGGCATCATTTTTCATAATTAAATACAACCTTGGACAAAAAATAGCAAAGCCACCTTACATATAATTGCATTCACATTATTTGGGGATAATTACCTTCTAAACAAGGTGCATGTGCACTAAGTTTTTCATTACTTGATCATTATTGACCTTTTCAAAATTATTTTTTTGGCGATATTATTTTTAATTACACTAATGTATTGTAAGAGATTCGAATTCAGATGTAGAGAGATAGTACACTATCCTAATTAACCAGCTTAAATCGCATCAGCTTCCTTGAGCAGATCTATGATGGCCTTACCTTGCTTGGCTCATAGTTGTGGCGGATCTCACTTGAAGTGGTAAAGTTGCATGTTGAGATGAGCCAATTGCTGGAGACGAGCAATAAGAGGATTTCGTTTCTCAGATTAGTGTAGGTCACTGTAGGTTTCTTTGTACTGCATCAAGCGGATAACATCTCGACTAGCGAGTGATGGAAACAACCGCTCGTGAGCTGTGGTTTTGATGTAGCCTCACTTGTTAACGATGGTTTGATGTGGTCTCGCTTGTATTGCGGTGACATTATGTGTGCTCTATAATTATGTTGCATCTGCCATCTTTGTGGCAGATTTGTACTGGGGTGCTTGTGCTAGTGTGAGTGTGCTTATGGTAGCCAATTAGAGAATTATCGTCATTGCTTGTTTGTGTGAATTACCTTGTGATCAAATATTTGGTCACTGAAAATTGTATCCATATGCCGACCCTTGTAATTGCTAATATTATCATTAGTAATGGAAAATCACTTTTGTTTCATTTATAAAACAAACTCGCATCTGCTTCAGAATTAGCCAAAATGAATTTGATTCATTCATTCTTGGGATAAAATCTTGCCAACAATAATTGAGTGCATGTATACTTTGACTCATTTCATATGGATGGTCATCGGGTACTTTGTGCCAGAAGGGATTGGTGTATGATGGCCAGGTCTGCAGTGGCTTGAGAGTGAAGTCAGAAATGATTGCAAAGTGGAAAGTTCTCAGATTAGGCTCGTGGCCTCCACTGTTCACATCGTCAATGTTTGGTTCGACAATAATGCAGCTTTGGCTACATGTCTATGGACTTTACTTATCATCGGGAACATAATTATGCATAGCTTGGTGACAGTAGTTTTCTTTGAAGTGTGATTTAATAGAGGTAAAACACTGTTATAACCCGAAATCACATTCTCGTGATTACTATGTTTTATTCTGTTAACTATTTCAGTCGAAATGTAATTTCGGGTCAAATATATGTTTTACTATTAACATATATATGAAAAATAAGAAGAAAAATATGGTCACTTTCCGTCTTTAGTGATCAAAGATTGAGTTATTAACTCATTTGCCACCACTTTCAAAGAGTTGCTTGGTTGCTATCGCATTTACCTTGACAGGCTGGCTGTTCAAATCGTTTCTGAAGTGAATTGAGACGAACAATTAAAATGGGTATTCACTGTAGACAGGTAAACAGGGTGACCTAGTAATGTTGATATATGAAATTTACAATAGTGTAATACAATTGCACATTTTTTACCGATTAGTTGTGCACGACGTCGGTCCTTACTAAGTTAAAAGGACAAAATTTGTATCGATAATGTCAATAATGTTAAATATAACAAGTTGGCGGTTTGTTTGTTTTGATATACATTGAAATGTTGTTTAACAGTATTATTGATGGGTTTCGATACTTTGTAAGATGTGAATCTGCTTGATCATGACCACAGGTAGGTTGCAATTCCCAACTAGCCTCCTCTAGGCTCGGAAGGTTGAATAACCGTGGTTCGTCATTAGTTGTTTCCCTTTTTTAAGGAAAAAAAAATATTGATGGTTTATCAACATATTATGTCTTTTAATAAAGAATCAACATCATCATGTCCTGAGAATTACATTTCTAACAATCATCAACAAACACGTTATATGATCTAAAAAAATTAATTTAAAAAGTTAGTTTTCTTAACATTACCCTTATGTAAAGTATATATGTTGTGTGGAATAATCTCGCGAAGTAAAAAGGACAATGACAGCTATTCGATGCTTTTCCAAATTACAGAGAATCTAAAACTTGAACAATATCCCTCTGTATACAAAACTACGACCAAATGAGACCAATAGCTTCAGAACAAATATATTCGTGGTTGAAAAAGTTGTGAGATAGAGGCCAGTAAAATCAATCTCATCACCTCTAGTATCAACAAGTCCTTTTCATCCTCCATTGGAGTTAAGCATTAAACGGTTTTGTATAGCTCAGTAGCTGAAAAAATGGGGCTGGATATAATTGCTACAATTGTTTAAGTTCTCTTTTAAAAAATAATTGGGTGAAGGGTAGGCTGTACGTTAAGCAATGGGGCAATTTTGCTGCTGGAGTAGCATGTTCATTAGAGATAAAGATAATGCATGCATTCCTCTTTAAGACGATGAACTCATTCATCTATTTATAAGTTTATAAAGTGTATTTACCACAAAATGTTTAAAATCGGAATTGTTCCATTTCTTAATATTTATTTGAAGATCATTCATACAAAAGATTATTCGAATAGAATATCATTTAGTCATCTAAATATATGAAATAAATTAATGGTTCATCATCAATATGCAACTTAGCACTGGTGATTTAATAATACATGTAAAGAATAAGCCAGGCAATGAACTAGCCATAGCAATATTATTTGCGGTGGCCTTTCACCGTGCTCTTTTCTGTCTATTTCCACCTAGTGATATTATTTGCAGGGGTTTTTCACCTAGTGATATTGTATGTGTTCATCAGTCTGCATGGCAGAAACCACCCAGAAACCGAATGGGGAAAGAAGATTCAAGACCACAACTGCCATATCTCCTTTCCATTTATTGGAACTGAGGAGCTTGGCCCCAAAAAAAAGCTAAGGGGGAGACTACATTTGATCAGCCTGATGTCTCTTTTGCTAAATAATAGCGCGATGGGCTCCATAGAATTAAGCCTAGTCATCGATTGGAGATTAGTTTTAGAGCAAATCATGCATTTTTTAGCTTTTGGCCTATTTAGCCATCTCCATTGAAGATGACCTAAAAACTTCTCTATCTCTAGCTAGCAGGCTTGTATAAACACACATTCTTTTTGTACTTGCTGTTTGAATGCTTTTAATCGAATTCAACCTAGAATATTATACTTATAATTTGGATCTATATTGCATGGTCTTAGGCACATTCATTACCCAAATCAATATTTTCAGATTAGGGATTCGAAATACGCTAATTAAATTTTGCAAAGAAGAAAATAATGATGGAATTGAAATTAAATTTTGCAAAAGAAAAAAAAAAAAAAAAAGGAAAATTTCAATGGAATTGAAATGAAATTTTAATAAAGTTCATTACATGCTTCGACATTTAATAATTAATATGTCAAATGAAATAAAACGCTGCTAGACGAACGAGTTCACATGATGACACAATCCTTTTTCTTTTTCTTCTTTGCCTGCATCTGAAGAAAAGGAGTCTGACTGCCAAGGGTTGTAGAGGCCGACGGCATAGAAGAGGGCATAGCATAACGACAGTCTCCAAATTAGGTTGGCGACGCTAATTGCAGACCTCCAGATTTTCTTCTGTGAGGCTCATGTGTGTGTTGCGCTGATGGAGGCATACTTAAACCTTCAAGAGTTTCATCCTTAAGAATTTACCTCAAGGTCTGAGAAGAGGCAGAGAATCTCAGGGAGAGAGATGCATTTCTCTGGGGTTCTAGTCACTGACGCGAATGCCTTGTAGCATATGATGGCCACTATTGATAGCCTGCTATCAAATGATCAGGGTGAAGATCAGCCTGTCGATGTGGTGCAAATGTTTGTTAAAGAAATCAACCCCATCTCATTAAAGGACCTACACAAATCTAGAATAAAGAATTCTAGAACATTCACTAAGGTTGGTTAGCTAGATTATCCAAGTTAAAGTAGTACTTTGTAGAAATGACTAGAATGTTGTTTCTTAAGTTGGTGGAAGAGTCTAGAAGAATGGTGAGGTTTCCACCAACATGCAAGATTAGTGTAGATAATTCTAGCTTAGGAAGTTAGTGGAATTATCTAGATATCTCTAGCATGGTGTGTCCATGCTTCTCCAAGGTTCCATCCATGCCTATAAAAGGAGAATGCATCCACACCATTTGAATCAACAAATCAGCAAATCAACAAGCAACCAATCAATTAAGAAGAGCTAAGTAAGAGAGTGGGAAGCCTTGTAAGTAGTCTTGTAAGAGTGTGAGTGCTCTAGAGTTTGTCTCTAGAAAGTGAGCGAGTGTCATTGTTCTTAAGAGTGTCCTTTGAGAGTGTTGTAATATTTGTTTGTGTAATACAAGTAATTTGTTTACTTGTATTGTCTCTCCAACACTTGTGTTAGAGTTGTGTACTCTAAGTTTTTCACCCCAACAATGTTGGCACCGTTCACTGTGAATTTCACTTGTTGTTGAGGAATCTACTACCACAAATATCTATTTATATATATTGAGTTAATTACTGGTCTCGCATTGAAATATGATCCATATGTATAACGTTTAAAAAACTATGTACAGATATTGATCGACTGGTGTCGATAAGTGTGAGCAATGTGCAATCTTCTGAAGTCCGCTCACCCCCTTGTGATGTGCCCTCTTCTGTGCCGTCAGCCTCTACAACCTTGGCAGACTCCTCTTCAGATCAGAGGAAGGAAAAGAAGAGGAAAAATAAAAGGATTGTGCCATCATGTGATCTCGGTTGTCTAGCAAATCAAATTCGAGAAAGAATCTTTGCTCCCTCTTCCCTGCGTATGCTTTCTTCTTTACCGCCCCCAATTTTTATTCCAGTTGAGTTATTATTAGCATTTGATTTAAACGTTTCCATCGAATATAATGCAAATTTTTCATGGTTTTCCTTTGAATTTAATGCATCTAATGTAAACGTTCATTCGAATTTAATATCTTTTAAACTTAATTTGCCAAAATATTTTTATAACAAAAAATAACTAAAAAAAAGATAGAAGCCTTCTTACCTGCGTAAATTTATGAAAATATCAACAAAAAAGGGAACTAATAGATAGGGATTTCAACCTTAATCACCAAGTTTGCATGGTAAATACGTGAGATTGGACCCAATTTCATAGAGTAAACGGAAACTAACATCTTTCATTCACGCATTTACTTACACATTCCTAAAACAAAAGGACAAAGATGTAGGAGCCTTTCTTACCACCAAAAGTGGTTTGATTCTTTAGATCCTTTTGGAGTATATATATTATTTCCCTAATTTGGCTCATGTCAGAGAGGCAGATCCAATATCCCCCCCATCCGCCAGCCTATATATTATTCATGCATATGTACAAGAACCCCAAATGTCTCAAACCCTAACAAAAACGCAAAATAAATTCTCAAAAGCCCTAGCATTATACTTTAGGCCATGGGAAACAAAGCATCGATTTGTTGTTACAAATCATCCCACTGCGAGGAGTACTCAAACTCGAAATGTAGTAGAGTTTCAGAGTGGGGAGAGGAGGAAGAAAATGAACCTCATGAGGACTACTCAAACTCGAAAAGTAGTAGAGCTTCAGAGCGAGGAGAGGAGGAAGAAAACAAATCTCATTAGGAGTAAAACTCGAAAAGTAGTAGAGCTTCAGAGCCGGGAGAGGAGGAAGAAAACAAACCTCATGATCAAAACAGTGACAGAATTAGCAATCTTCCAGATGCTATATTACATCAGACACTTTCCTTGTTACCCATCAAAACCATTGCACAAACCAGTGTTTTATCTAGAAGATGGAGTTATCTATGGGCTTCCTATCCTGTCCTTGACTTCTCTGAGGTTTTTCCAATGCCCTATCCCAAATATTTGGTTAATGAGAAAATACTTGATCAGCAAACTAAAGCAATGAAGTCCATAACCACAGTATTGTCCCGCCGCCATGAAAACTCTAATATAAGGGTTTTTCGTGTTTCAGGCCATCTGAGTTGTTCTGATTTGTATGATTTCATTGGTCGGGTGGTGAAGCATAGAGTTGAGGAACTTAGTCTTGAAATCTGGCCGAGAGATAATTGTGAAGTTCCATATTGTTTAATTGAATGTGATTCGTTAAGGAGTCTCAAATTGGAAACGGGAGCTCTACAATATAGATGCATAGGGCGGCCAATTTTATTAAAACTTAGTTCTAAGAGTGGTCTCCGTTCCCTTCACTCATTGTCTCTAACCGGTGTGCATTTCTCGGAGAGTGCTTTGGACGATGTGGATTTATTTACCAGTTCTTCATTCCCTTCTCTTGAGAGATTGACCGTAGAATATTGTAAAAATATGAGTCATGATCTTATAGTTAGAAGTCCCAACCTCAAAGATGTAGAAATATCAATGGAATATTGATATACGAAACCAGAGAATTTGAAGATCCAATATTGCAGGGCAATACGGCTCGACAATGTAGTGAGTTGGATAAAGATTTTTGCCCCGAACCTACGACTTCTTGATTGGGAAGTTAATAAAATCACCGAGAAAATTTTGATTGACATCTTTCCTGTCCTGACTATTGAGGGTAATTATGTAAATGAATTAGTTGGATATTACTTAGAGAGTTAGTTGGATATCTGTTCGTTTGGTTTAGGTGTATAGTTAGTTGGAGAGTGATTGGTAGTGACAGATGTAAATGAGTTGCATATATACAACTATCTTGTAAAATTATTCATTGAATGAAAAGATATTCTTTTCCAAACATGGTATCACCCGTCTCTGTCTAACGACTCGATCCTCTCTCTCTTTCTGCCTTAGCTGCTACGCTTCTTGCAAATCTTCATCGCTAAGCTTCCACTTTCTTGAAGCTTCTTGTACCTGAAACCCAACTTCTTCTGTAGCCTTCAATAACACTGTCAATAATCTTATTTCTGCATCATCCCAAGTTCAAAAGCTTATACTATCTGGCGGTCTTGAGGTTCACACATATACCTATATATGCATGCTTTCTATTTGTTCACTAGTTCTCAGATTCTTGCATAATTTTGCTGGAGAATGCATGACAGGAAGGTCGACCGTCACCCAAGTCCCACATTGGAGAAATACTTTTAATTTCCTATCTTTGGTTGTTCTTGTACTACAAATGTGTGTGTGTGTGTTCATACCAGAGTCAGTTTCTTTTTGTCTATAAGCACATTGGAAATTTCCTTACATGTAATATGTGGATTTATCTGTTTTGTTTGCAGGTCCTATCAAATATATATTTTGGAGGTGGTTTACGATATTCATTTATAAATCTTCAGACCTTGCATATCTGTACTAGTTTGAAAAAATGTGAAATCCCAGGAATAGCATGCTTATTGAAGAGTTCTCCTGTAGTACACACTCTCATACTTGAACTATGGTCTACAGGCCACAATGCTGTAAGTTTTGACATTATTCTGCTGCTTTTATATTCTTCATATGAACATATACTTCTTATATTTGAAACATTCTTCAGAGATGGAACAACCCTTTGTTGGACAGCACCGGTTGCACTGAAGAACAATACTGGCAAAATCAAGTTCAAAGTTCCAGTTCCTTCTTATGTCACCTGAAGGTGGTGAAGATTTAGACCAATTTCTTGGTCTTCTATTCTACGATCAACATTGTAAGATTTTTGCTTGAACATGGATGAAGCTTGCAGGATATTTTTGTTGCAGCGTCAAACCGCTTTCTTTTTGGTTGAATGAAATCCGTAGAATAGAGGGTTTTCCTCGAGCATCTTCCGAAGTCAAAATCTCAGTTACTTCTTGATCAATGACTAGTTTTGATAGTACTAGTGTTCCAGAATGTAATGTGCATGTAATGTATAAGTTAGATTTGCTTAATTTACAGATACAATTCAAGGACCTATAAGTTTTAATATTGCCAATTAATTAATGTCTAATTCTTCTCTTTATTGGTTGAGTTCTATCAAATTATTGCTTCTTACCTTCTACTTCTGGGCAATATTATTTTGCTCTCTGTTTTGTGTCACAGTGTTTTTGGGTGGTATGAATTGTTTTTTGCCTTTGCAAATACTGATAAATATAACCGGGCAAAAGAAAGAACAAGAGTCATTTAAGCTATAAGACCATCAATGCCGCACGCAGAGCCCGAGTGTGTGCGGGCGGTGGGAAACAAGTGCAAGTTAGAATTCCATCCAAACATATTTGATACTGTTGGCATCGCCATTTCAGTACTCGATCAACCTGAAAGGAAAATACACTGTTCAAATCTTTCTTTTCTGTAAGGATTACCAGTTAGTGATTAAGCATCATTGCCTGCGTGATTATTAATTGGTATATAGCGCGAGGTCATGTTAAAGAGGTAGGTCCGTTCAATAGTGCCAAAAATATAACCAAACCCTCTAGTTTTAAGTTCCACAAGCGCATAACACATCGGATTGGATGTTATCTAGTGCACTGAAAACAAAGACTTATCTAACTAGGTGAATTACCAGGTGAAGTTATTTCTCACATATTTTCATATCTTCCTAACAAAATGTGTTGTGAAGACCGCCATTCTGTCTACAGGACAGAAGGACCTATGGGCTTCCGTTCCCAATCTAGACTTCTGCACAACGATTTCAGTGATATTGCCCGTTTTTTTATGATCGTTGAGATTTTCTTTCAGTGAGTTATCGCACATCAAAAAGTTATGTCTACGTTGTTGGTCTGGTAGTCAGGGCTGTTCTCATAGTATTAATGGTTGGATTGACCTGCGGAGAGTTGTTGAGCTTGATCTTGATGTTATAACATATGCACATGAGTTGCCTAAAAGCCATTTTGTGTATAAAACACTGATGAAATCGAAGTTGAGATCAGATTTCATTATCAACATTCCGACCACAGGGTGTTTCCCAAGTCTCAAGTTCCTCCACGTTACAATTGATTTGCCCGATAAGGATTCAATCTGTAAACTTTTCTCGTGCTGCCCTGTTCTTGAAGATTTGAAAATAGAAGGGGACCTTTGTCCTTTTTTATTATCGAAAAGATGATGACATTCAAGACGACCTCCCCTTGCTTTTCAACATTTCAGCATCTGAACTGAAGATACTAAGGATATATTTGAAATTTGCATGCAATGTTCAAAATAATGCGTGAAAACTTTTAATCAATGCCCCAAAGCTCGAAATCTTTAATGTCAAGGAGGATTTTTTTTTTTTTCAGAATATAAATTCGAGCCTGCGAAATCCGCCGTCAAAGCCAATATTGATCTCGGTTGTCATCGTTTTCCTTCCTTTTGAGCTCACCGTATTGAGGTACGTTGTGCAGGGCTAACTTCTTTCTTTTACTCTGTTTACTAGTCAGGATTATAGTAAGGAAGAGCATGGAGGAAGACGACTCGGGCATAAAGAAGACTTGGATCTATGAAGTCCACCAAAGAATGTTCCTATCGATATGTCACGCCTCAAGACTCTGTTTATAACGGTATTAAAGAGATACCAAGTCGACATTGAAGTAGCAAAGTACATGCTAAAGTGCGGTCAGGCTTTGCATAAGATGATTATTTCTGCTTGCGGTGATTTGTCTGCAAAGGAGTTATACAGGGAGTTTTTAATGGCTGCAAAGGGTTCTACCTATACAGTCAAATTTATCTGATGCAATTTTAGGTTTACGACATCATTTTATATACGAAGGCGCAGGTGGTTTAGTAATACTTATCATAGAGTCACATTCTGTAGCCACCAATAACATCTTGAACAAACTTTTAACACCAAAATACTCTGCAACAAATGAATAATCCATTTATCAAATACGTACCAACTTCGGTTAATTGCATCCGTCAATTCGATCTTCTGTCTCTTGAAATCAGGTGCTTTTTCTCCTCAGCTGATCGCATACCCTCCATCTTCAACATCTCCAGCAAGAAATCGCTCCATGTATCGATCGGTCCCGGCAAGCACCAGTGCACACAGTCGTTATACAAAGTCACATTTTCATTTGGCCAGTGCCCATATCTACTAGGATGACCATCTGGCCTTAATAACGTTGCCTGCGTTGTGTCCAACAGCCTGTATTTCAACCCCTTCTTTCTGCCTTCCTTTTCAGCTTTCCTAAACTCCTCAATTTGGATCATATAAAGCTCCAAATTTAAACCCTCCAACCGTGTCTCGTTACTCTTATACGGCTTCGTTCGCAAACAATTTCCTCCTTCATTCCATATTCCATTTTCGAAATGTGACGGCGCAAAAGTCCTAACATATGTTATACCCTTATAATTTTCTAAGCTGTTGATGGCCTTAAAAGCTGTCCTAAAAGCCTTTCTATGACCATAGTGCTTGCCTAGGTCAGGTACATTGTCTAGGAGGCAATAATTGCACCCAGTAATCTTTCGATTTTCGTAGTACACCATCGGCCGGAAGAACCAATGCCCCGCAGCAAGTATGATGTAGTCGAATTCATTAATCTGGGTTGTCCATGCCTCGTCAAATTCGTCGAGGTAGAGCTCGAAAAGGCCGGTCTTGGTCGGACCGTCAGTGTATGTTGCTTCTTTGGATTTGACCAAATGTGGAGTCCAAAACGTGGCCATAGTGAAGTTGTAGGATGTGTACTTCCAGCGGATGAACCTCTGGTCTTCGGTAGTTGAAACATCTATTGGATATTCCACCTAATTTAAACACCAACCAACATTTATTTGTACAGATTTGTGTTTAGCAAAAATTAACTTCTGTGGTGTTTAGCAAAAATGGAAATGCTTTAGCGTGAGTGATTATAAAACATCGCATGATAAGTACTTCTTTCTTTGATATGACGTAATTAATTACATTAGGGTTGAGAATAAATTGATATCGAACTCCATATTCACAAGATTCGAACTTAAACGCTCTCAGCTGCTTACATCCAATGTAATTAATGTATTATATTTGAGACCAAAAGATTTATTTTGTAGACGGTGAGGGTTAATCATTTGTGTTATGTATAGGGAAGTCGAGGGCCATATGATACAGATATAATAGGTCATCAACATGCACAAGGTTTCGGATAACTAAATAATAATCCATATAATAAGACACAGTAATAGACTAACACATGGGAAGCTAGATCTGTTTAGACGACAGTTGTCTCCACAAGTATGTCTGTGGGTTATTCGGCTGATCGAATATATGTCATGGGGCTCCACAGACAATTAGACATCATCTTGGATGCCCAAAAGCATTTTTGTATTTTTATTCTTGTTCTGAACTGAGTTTTTTTTTTTTTTTTTTTTTTTTTTTTTTTTACAGAAGCGATGTTAGTGGGAGAGAATCGAACCACACAAGGTCTTGTCTACATGAATATATGTTTTACGCCGTTTAAACTACATGCTCTTTGCAATTAACTACGAATTTGGGAAGTAGAGCATTTGTGTTTTGAGACTTCTTTAACAAAAAAAGTAACTTAATTATTCTAATTTAAATGAAGAAATCGCACACAAGTGCAAAATGGCCAACACGCTATACTGCCTAACCTACCTAAATTACAACTACGCATAGATTTTTTTGGTGCTATAGCTTACTAGACAATTTAAGTGATGATTTATGCATGACCAGTCGGATCGGTGTATGCATGCTTTTATGTTTTTATTCTTAGGAAGAAAAATATATAAAGCCTCCATGTTTCGATGCTTCATTGGCCATGTCAAATTTTTTATTTTTTTATTTATTTTTATTAAGAATCCATGTGAAATATTATAAGACACAGTCATTCGCACAACAAGGGATGGAAAAGATTCCTATCATGCATCTACCTAGCTACTAGACAAGATATTGTGATTAATAATAACAAGGCTCCTATTATTTTTACCTAATCCCCTTTATCCTTCGATAACATAAATGGCTTAGGTCAACTAACCTTGAAGATCTAAGTCTCGTGCATATTTAGACAAAATTATTTAACTAATCTAGAAGCGACAGCGACAGTTGCCATGGGAAAGTATATATATATATATATATATATATATTCGGATTTGAATCCTCTCCGGAGCAGAGGGTCCAAATCCTGCTGATCAAACAACATGGACCGTTAGATTAAAATTGAACGGCTACAAACAGGGAAGCCTTCTAAAAGTTATAATAATTGTAACTGTTAGATTTTGATTCAACGATTCATGTTGCTTGATCAGCAAGATTCGGACCATCTACTCAGGAGAGGATCCAAATCTATATATTTCAAGATCCAATCCAAAGTATATTCTTTCTCTCAACTTCTCCTTTTTCATGAGAAATTTTTTAGTGTGTACATAATACGAAGTGAAACAATACATATTATTATACAATTAGAGAGACATTTAAAAAAAAATTCTCTAATTATATAATAACATATGATGTTATGATCCATATTTCGAGCATATTGAAAGACCTTTCGTTTTCCTTTTAGTTTTCAAGTTTCAAAGTCGATAATTAACTACCATGCATGTTCATTGAAGGGACCACAAAAAGCTTTATCAGACAAACCTTGGCTGTCAGTGTGTGACATATGTGTATGCCTTTATCAAAAATACAGATTCTTCATGGTATATAGAGATACATTAGATTTGTACAATCATTACATAATAAACAGGATTTGTCTTTGTAGTGCAGTAGTAGTTCAACTTTCTATTTATTAAATTAGTAAATAAGGGGAAAAAAAATTATTCAAGAGTAATACTAGAGAAACTAACTATTTATACCAAATTTTATAAACCATATAACGTAGTTTTTTATGATTGAATTATTACTTAATTGCTGATTAACGTGTTTATTTTATATTAATGACACATTACATAATTCGCAAACTAATTTAGTTGAACAAAATCTCTCACCATAACATGCAAGACTTTTGTTAGTAAGAAAACAATAACCATAGACACTTTTTCTCTTCTTACGCACCTTTTATGTTTTATCATCAGATTGAATAAATCAAATGAAGACAACGAATAACATAATAATTAATTGTGCATGAACTAGTAATTAAGTATGTATATGTTGATTTACTAAGAAAACCAAAAGACCATATCATGGTAACATTAAACAATAAATAACAAACAAATATTAGATGGTAAAGGAGGAATATAGAATAAAGGGCTAGGCATACGTACCCTTGAAAGGAGGCATATCATGGACTGCATTTGGTTTCTACCCACAGAGTCTCCAACAAATGCCATGGACTTCCCTCTAAGCAATTCGAGGAACTGAGCCGGGTTGAAAACGGGTAGCTCACAATCATCTGGCTTCCACTTCCACTTCATGAACTCAGTGTCTGGTCTTCCATACTTCATGCAGTTTTGGTGCTCATGGATTGCCCAACATGTTTTGTTTGTGTAGTAGGGAGCCTCTGGATTTGGAACCCATTCTCCAGTAAATATGTCACACTTTAAGTTGCTCGTTATAGAAGGCAAATCCTCCTCCTGAGCAGATGATGATGGAGAGGGGACTAGTGGGTTGGAATCAATAGTTTTTGACACAAATAAAGAGCGGCATATTGAAGGGTAATAGAGTGGGATGATTGTAAGAAGAAGTAGGGCACAGACTAGCAGTACAAATTTTTTCGGTGCCTTTTGTGGGCGTATTTTCCCAAAGAGAAGCTCATCAATGGCTTGGTGCTTCATTAGAGAGAGAGATAGAGAGACAGAGAGAGACAGATACAGAGACGCAGAGAGAGGAGAGAGAGGAGAGAGAGTTCTCTAAAGGCAGTGGGAAATGATGAGAGAGTACTGAAACATATAGGTGTGGAAAGTTTCATAGATCACAAGGAGGGAGGGTGGTTAGTGATTATTATCGAATTATTTATATTATATCGTTGTGGCTGTGTTACAATGTGCATGATGCTACCCTTAACCATATAGATCTCTTCTATCTACTAGCTCTTTCATTTGGAGTATATGATCCTAGCACGTCTCAAGAGAATCATCGAGATATACAAACACGTGTAATTTAAAACGAAAGTTAAAAGAAAAAAAAAAATACCCTAAGGCTACAACTTCACATCTTTGAGGACCTGCCAAGGATGTAGTTGTGATTTAGTGGAAAAATTGTACATATATTTATACATATACATATACATATACATATACATACATAGATATATATATATATTTATAGGATTAGGATTGAGAACACATGTTTTTGGCACATATTTTTACACACATTCTTGTGGAATTAATTCACTTCTTAATGTATTTCAACGATCTATCTTTTATGTTTTACCTCAAAGATCATGTCTGCCAAAAATCATCCAAATCCGAAACCATGTGATCGTTTGATTAATTTTAATGTTTCTTTATAGTACTATATTCATCCATTTTTCTTTGCTATAAATGAATGTTTTAATGGTTTTGGATTTGTTGTAATGGTTTTGCAAGGATGATCTATAAATGACGTACTAAAATATAGGCGATTCAATTGTTCAAATACATTACGAAGTGGATCCTAGTAAATGAATGTCAAAATTTATGTTAAAAGCGTGTGTTATTCCCAAATTCTACCCATATATATTATTGCAAATTATTCAAATCTTTGAGATGGATGGCTATTATTTCAGTGTCATGTTGTAATATCGTGTCGATGCTAAAGTACAAATTAGTCTACATTGCAAGACTAGAAATAGCATTATTTGGTCATCAAAATTATTTTATTAATGTTGATTGTAGCTCATGTGATCACAAATCCAAGATCCAGTGGTTCGAGAAGTTATAATATGATGCGTGTGTGTACTATATTGTAGTATGTATGCAAAATTCACATCTTTGCCACTTTTAGACCGGAATGTTAAAGTGACCAGAGATGATGTGGTTGGTTTTTAGCATCATTTGAGAAAGTTCTCTAATTGTGCATGGGAAATTACATCAAACTATTGGCCGCCTGCCCCGGGAGATGATCATACTGTCCCCATGGCATGCTCGAAAGTCACACATATTTGGTCTAAGCCTCATTAAAAAGAAATTATATGACTTAAAACTTTTATTTCTACTCAACGGATCACCATCTTAATGAAGCTTTTTACAGCAAGACAAAAAAGTTTAACTAAGCTACGGACATCTTTACCGACGAGAGCCTTTGCTGTTTAATAAAAAACGATATTTATACATCATTTCATTCAGCCAAATAATAGAGATAATGATATGATATGATCGATTGTATCATTGATGTACACGATTAGATTGCCTAATTAGACAATTATGGATAAAATACAAAACACACACGTATACTTCGTTTTTATGTATACATTAAATCAGTTGGTATTACATTAGCATCGTGAATATATATACACTTGATCTGACCCTAATTAACCTTCTATTAACATGGTGTTATATGCTAATTAATTTATTATATATATATATATATATGTATGTATGTATATATGTATGTATGTATGGTTAATTAAGCTGAAAAATTAGGTTGGGTTATAATCATAACCACCATGAAATCTGCTGCAGGACTTTGTGATTGGTGGCTCCACCAGTACTTCATTAACTTGGATTATTCATGATTTGAATTATACATGCCTCTAAATTATTTAAGTCAAATTTTCTTTATGTTAATCATCATTTATAAATCCTACATTATTATCCTTCTAATTTGTTCCTTCTTTTCTTTCTTTATATTTATTATGGTTGTTACATGTATCTGCCATGCCATCATCAGTGTTGACTGAACATGATTTGGATGTTTAGCTAATTCACTTCAAATTATTGTTTAGTTAATATACAAGTGATAGGTTAATTAAGGTGACTTCACCATCCATGAGATTCAAATCTAAGACATCTCACTTCTAAGTAAAAAGGAATATCACCAGACCGCAGTACTGAGTGGCCAAAAGAAACACAAAATGCTTTCATGAGTGCCCATTGTGTGGTTTAGCCGAATTTCCCCTCCCCCTAGAGTAAAAATATCGATGTACTTAAAAAAAAAAAAAATTAAGGTGACTTCAAATTGTTGTTTAGTTAAAAATACCGTTTTGAAAACAACTTATTGGTCTTACAATGTTTCTTAAGCACAGCCTAAGCCAACATTTAGCTAAGGTGTTTTCATCAGCCCACTATAATACCCCGGTTTACCAGCCTAATTTGTTTCAGGGGGTCAGCCCCAAGGTTTGTTGATGTGCTAACCATGGATTTCTAAATGGTTTTGTATCGGTTGCTCTTCGAGTTGTATATTTTGTAGCTACATAACTTATTGATCATGAATGTGTGTACAAGCGTATGAGCGGTTTCTAACTGTTGGTGCACATGATGTTCATAATTAATTAATAACGTTTTAATTATTCATCAATTGTATGTGAATGACAGATCTTAACATTATTCTTGCGATAACGTTAAGCTAGGTAGCAGTAGGAAAATGACTGGGCCTTCCTCTTCTAAAACCATCTTCCAACACATTGTAACGTACTAATCAAAAGCTGTCTAAATATACATGGATTGGATCCTACATATTGCATAACCATTGATATGTGATCAAAAGTCAAAACCGGTATAACAAACCCTAACTTCAATCAAATGAACAACTAGAGGGATATTTATAACTTTTGTTTATCCCCAAAATCGAATATGAATATTGGAATGAAACAAAAGGGTCATATAGAACATGAAATCCGAGCGACATAAAGTACACATAAAAGGTTTTGGTCGTGTAATTCTGGATTTTGGGGTTTGAGATTTTATGAGGATTCACACAACTTGCAATTTGTGGATTGGATTGATGATTGAGATGCATAAGAAACAGAAGATAATTGAAATTAGAGAAATGTTAAGGAGATTTTCTCAAAAGTGAGACTCTCCATGAACTCTCTGTCACCACATGTTTTTTACACAACGTTTTATAATATTGGCACAAAAAATAACGTTAAACTATGAAATGACGGAGAATTCATAGAGAGTTCCACTTTGAAAGTCTCCTTCGCATCTCTCTTAAAGTTACGTCCACTTTTACTAGCTTATGACCTATATGATGACATCTACCATTTAATAATTGACATTAAATTTCCGTGGAGGCAAAGAACTCGTACCTTTTTTGACATATGCAATGCAACCATTGCACCTCAACTTCAAGATAATCTGGTGTTTTCAAGGCAATGTAAATCCCAAAAGGTAACCGTAGGAAAAAGTGGCTTAGTTTAGTCATTTTTTATGAGAACGATAGTTAGATATGCATGGCTAATATCTATTTGCAGTACGTGGTTGCATGGCTATCTGAAAATTTGAGGTTCCCCTCACATGCATGTCAACCTCTAGCTAGTTATATATATACATCATCATTTTCCATCATTAATAAAACGATAGTAATTAGCTTAATTTGAATATTGAAGTTAAGGAATTTACCACCTCACATGTACATTTGTCACTATCATACAATCCCATTTGTCTTAGAGACAATATATATTTAGATACTATCTCATTCTTTAAGGACAAACCTAAACCACTCCCTACAATCGGTGTTGTTTGGCCAACAAAAATATGTCTTCTCTATTTACATAACAGTAATGCTAAAGGCAAAACTTTTGTGTGAAGTTTATTTGTCAAATAATGTGTTAGTATACTTGTAAAAGCGTTACTCATTACAAATTAACGAAACCCAGAGTGAGCCCAAACTTGAAATAAATATTCACATAATTTGATAATTAGTGAAAAAATAAACACATTATTTGTCAATTGTCACACATACATATCAGCTTTGATATGTGACTATCAGATTGGTCAAGTTGGCCTTGTTTTTTGTTTTGGGGTTCTTTTTGTTTTAGAATCCCTTAAATTTAATCTAAGATGTCCTTTTTGAAATTTGTATATTCGTTTCATCTCAAAAAACAAAATTTGGAGAAGAAATTTGATGTGTACGTAGAGTAACTTATTTCATAATTCTTTCTCCTTTTTTAAAACGGTAATTAATTTCATCATGTTTGCCCCCACTGAAACGATTAAGAAAAAGAAAGGCCCCTCAAAATATAGAGAGCACAAAAGCAATAGATTGGGATTAGATTCTGTCCGAAAAAGGATTAAGACTTTAAATTTATGACTGCTTTTATGGCCTTATCTTGCCACCAATTATTGGTAATTGATAAAGCTAAATCATAGTTGTACAAGAAAAAAAATCAGATATTTTGATATCGTATGAAATTATTGGATGATGGTTTGGTAAAACTACAAGCAAATCCTATTTGTTTTCAAGGAAGATGGGAAACTTCTATGATTTATGCCACCTCCGAAATCATGTATATAACTCATATGTAAAAAAACTAACTTCAACAGGAAAGTCAGAATTCAGATTGCCTAGCTTCTATCTAATATGAAGACTGAAAAGGACACAATAACAAATAAAATACAAAATATAAAATTTATATACGGTTTTTCTTAAAAAAAAGAAAGAAAAGAGAAATGACTCTTCGGTATTACAGAGAATCTAGTTGTTCTTGTAAACACTGTGTGTTTGATATGCGAAAATGAATTTTTGGGAAATAATTTATCGTGAATTTTCTCAGGAATTCCGAAATATATTTTCTTTTAATCATGTTTGGTAAAAATAGAAAAGTAGATACAAAGTCTAGAGGCAGGTTACTTTTATGGGTATTTTTTTTTTCTGTAAAAAGGGAAACAACTAGTGGCAAACTCGGTTTTTCACTCTTTTTGGGCGCGAGAGGCAATGGAGAACTTCATCCTACCCCGTGGCCACAGTCAAGCAGACTCACCAGCTAAGAGCATCGAACTCCATACCTCTATTTTTATGGGTACTTTAATCCAAGTTAAAAATTTTGAGTTATTGGATTTACTCTACTTACCCTATTTTCAAC